CTCACCAACGTCCTCTTTGGCGGCATCTCCTCGACGCCCGTACAGACAGACTACAAAATGGAAGGCGTCGTGACGCAGACAAACGTCGAGGACACGGCCGAGGCGCTCGTCAACGCCGAGAACGTAATCATTGTCGTCGGCTACGGCATGGCTGTCGCCAAGGCGCAGTACGCCATCAGCGAGATCACGGGCATGCTACGGTCCAAGGGTATTAACGTCCGCTTCGCAATTCACCCCGTCGCGGGCCGCATGCCGGGCCAATGTAACGTGCTCCTGGCGGAGGCGAGCGTGCCGTACGACATCGTGCTCGAGATGGACGAGATTAACGACGACTTTGGGGAGACGGACGTGACGCTTGTGATTGGGGCGAATGATACTGTCAATCCGATTGCGTTGGAGCCCGGTAGCCCGATTGCGGGTATGCCTGTGCTCCAGGCGTGGAAGAGCAAGCAGGTTATTGTGATGAAGAGGGGCATGGCCAGTGGATATGGTGAGTATTTGGAGAACATTTGGAGAGAAGTTTTCTGGGATGACTGGACTAACCGTGCAACAGCCGACGTACCGAATCCCATGTTCTACATGCCCGGAACTCGCATGTTGTTTGGTGACGCCAAAGTGACTTGCGACGGTTTGTGCCCCCCCCCTTCTCCTCCCCTCCTCCGTTCACCAGACGCGGCGTACTGACCATGAATTCTGTAATGTAGCAATCAAAGCAGCCGTCGAAACCCGAGCAACATAGATTCTAGAGAGATCTCGTATCGCGCAGATTTTTTGGACTCGGGAAGCATCTGATCTTTCCCACTAGAGGCGCTGCATCTACAAGGAGCTCTCCGTCATGAACACACATGTCTCTTGGCTATTTTGCTTTCTTCTCCCTTTTTTTGGGCCTTGTTCAAGCGCGTTTGTAAATACTGTGACGAAAGGACGCAAGCGGTAGTTTCGGTTCGCAAAGTATGAATTAAATACATGTCACGCTTACAGTGCGCTTGTCATATGAGAAGCTGCTTCTCGTGAGGTCTTTTGTCCTGCAACTTGAGCGGATCAAGTCCACCCCGTCTCTGATCAAGAACAATGTTAAAGGGAAGACGTAAGCAACGTGTTTGGAGTCGCCGTCACAGTCACGGTCGTGAGAAATCTACATCAACAAAAGGTGATTGGGTGGGCAAGACTGCTTAATCAAGACTCTGAATGAATGTCCGGTATCTAGACCCAGAGGGGGATCTGAACCCCCCCCCCTCAAAGAACAGTATGCATATTTGCCGCGATAATCCCCCCTATTCCTGATCAAGCCAAAGAGAGCGTAGGACTCAGACCCTTCATGGGGTTCTGAATTATAAAATACCCTATCCCAGTCATCGTTGACCCGCAACAAAGACGCAGAGGAAATATAATAAAAAAGGCAAAGGAGAATAAAAAGCCGCCCAACATTCGCACAGAAGCGAACAAAGCAAGATAAACCTCACATCATCCCTCCTTACAACCGTCTTCTAGCAGCAGCAGCAGGGGGCGCAGCGGGAATCCCCGCAAAAGCGCTCATACTCGGCGACGACGGCACCGACGGCGCAGGCGCGGCAGAAGCGGAAGCGGCAGCGCAGCCGAGATTACACGGCGTCTCGCAGCGGCCGATAAAGTCGGGCTCGTCATTCTTGCAGCGGCCCTGGCAGGGGCAGATGAGCTCGATGGCGGAGCCCGTCTTTTGGCCCGGCGCGCAGATGCAGACAAAGAGGGTGTTTTCGAGGGACTCGACGGCGGGTGCGGCGGCGGCGCAGTCTGTGCCTGGGGTTGCGCAGTAGCCTTGGCCTACTTGCTCGGTTGTGTAGCCTACACATGGGGAGTTAGGGATTTGGAGGGTTCTGGTGATGGAAGAAAGGAGGCGAGGAGGTAAGAGTGTGAGAGAGAGGGAGAAGGAGGGAGAGGGTACCTTGGAAGCCGACGAGGACTTTGCCGCAGTAGGTTGCGCCGCAGACGCAGTGGGCGCCGCCGGGGGCGGGTGAAGGCTGCGATGGGTCTGAGGGAGCCGGCGCGGGAGCGGGGACGGGGGCGGGAGCGGGAGCAGGGTCCGGGCCGGGGTTGTTTGGGATGGGTTCGGTGGGCGCGGGCGGCTGGCCGTCGACGGTGATTGTGGTGATGGAGGTTGATACTGGGGGCACTTGGGGGTCCTGTGGCGCGGCTGAGGCCCAGGCCAGGAGGGTGGTCAGTGTTAGGATGTTCAACTTCATGTCTGCGTGATGTGAGAGTTAGGAACTTGGTGTTGTAGTTCTGTGAAGGAGATGTTTGCCGCTGCTCTGGCGTGTTGGTGATGAGAAGGACGGGATTGCGTGATTGATTGCTCGGTTGTAGTGGCTCGTTTTATACACGTTGTCGATGTTCAACTTCTTGGTCATGATTTGATGTTTGGTGAGGGCTCGAAGGACATGGACCATTGTCTGACGTTTCTTCTCGTGGACTCGGCTGATGTAGCTTACACGTTGTCTGTTGCACCCGTGATGAAGGTGAAACCGCGATGCGTATGGACGTAGATCCGAGGCTTTTTCTGGTTCGAGTTGAATACGATTGAACCTGATCTCGGTTGCCCAAAACTCAGAGAACCGTAAGTGAAGGCATCTTGTGTCTCGCTAGCCAATACGCAGCACTCCTCAAGACCGCAAACGTCGACAACTCCAAAGACGACCAGGCGACCTAGCGATGCTAGACTCATGCCGTATTGACAGCTGCGTCCTTCCGCGTCATCTGCGTTGAAACTTGCCGCAATCCAATCTCGAGAGGCACAAAAGTTACCCGTCCACGTCCACGGCGCGGGTGCAACAAGGACTCGACGACGAGAGCATGCCGACCACGTCAGGGCCCGGAACGACGGATTATCGTCACAATTTGAGGTCGCCTAGAACAAGAACACGGAGTCAGTGTTCCTTTGTGCTCCTCGATCCCCACCTAAGCTTCTTCACATCGGGCATTACGAGGACTCTGCCCCTGAGCGAGGGAGTCACTGTAGGTCACAACGTGTTGTCTCAAGGAGATTAGGAAATTAGGAGCAATTCCAAAAAATCATGAACATCGCGTCGTATCCTATTCTGTGACTCGACACGTCAGAGGTGTTTGCCCTGCACGAGGGCGGATGCTCCCACGCACACCCAGAGCTCTGTGTGATTTCAGGCAATTGAGCGGAAGAGGTCTTCAAATATGCCCAACTTTAGGGAGCCGAAGCCGACTCTGAAAGATGCCGAAGCCGGATTTCTCAAGGCCATGCTTCGCAGAGGATCCTGCTCGATCATGCTCCAGATCCTCGCTTGATTCGAGAGAAGATGGGCAAAAGTTCGGCTAGGATCTGACGGGATGCAGTCGGAGGCTCGGAGATGCGGGCGGAAGAAGTGGGCCCCGGGCACTGTATGCCCAGTGCTGGGTACAGTGCCGTCACAGTACCGAAGCCGTCGTGCTTCGGTGCTACCCCTCCACCCCCGCCATCGCTCCTACCTCCCTGCCGAGTACTCCAACTTCCCAGAATCCGAAGCCAAAATTCGTTCCCGTCGTTCGATACACGCGCACCTCAAACCCATCAACTCGCAATTGACCTCGTTCGACCCGGCAAAGAACCTCCCAAAACCCGACTGTCAGATGCACTGAGAGACGAATTTTCAACCTCAAACACACACACCCCACCACCACCCCTCACAATGGCCGCCGCACCGCCCGCCGCAGCCGGTAACGGCACCCCCATCCACGTCGGCACGCGCAGGTCAGCGCTGGCCATGAAGCAGACTGAGATCGTCGTCCAAGGCCTCTCGAAAGCCCGCCCAGACGCCACCTTTGAGATCCACAGCATGCAGACCCTCGGCGACAAGGACCAGATCACGGCGCTCTACAACTTTGGCGGCAAGGGCCTGTGGACCAACGAGCTCGAGGCCAAGCTCGTGGCCAAGGAGCTCGACATCATCATCCACTCCCTCAAGGACATGCCCACCACCCTACCCGACGGCTGCACCCTCGGCTGCGTCACCAAGCGCGAGGACCCGCGCGACGTCGTCGTCTTCAACGCCGGCCTCCTCGCCCAAAACAGCGGCCGCTGGAAGACCCTGGCCGACCTGCCCGAGGGGAGCGTCATCGGCACCAGCAGCATCCGCCGCATCGCGCAGCTCAAGCGCCGCCACCCGGGGCTGAAATTCGCCGACGTCCGCGGCAACATCGAGACCCGCCTGCGCAAGTGCGACGACCCGGAGGGCCCCTTTTCCGCCATCATCCTCGCCGCCGCGGGCCTGCTGCGCATGGACTACGGCGCGCGCATCTCGCAGTACCTCGACTCGGAGAACGGCGGCACGCTGCACGCCGTCGGACAGGGCGCGCTGGGCATCGAGGCGAGGGCGGGCGACGAGAGGGTGCTGAGCGTGCTGCGGGAGCTCGAGGACGAGCCGACGATGCTGGCGTGCGTTGCGGAGCGGAGCGTCATGCGCACGCTCGAGGGCGGGTGCAGCGTGCCGATTGGCGTGGAGACGAGTTGGGTTCAGGTCGACGGCAGCAAGAAGCTGCGCCTCAAGGCGACGGTGGTGCACGTTGACGGCACGCAGGGCGTGGACGCGGAGAGGATCGAGGCGATTGCGACACGGGAGGAGGCCGATGACTTTGGCAAGCTCGTGGCACAGGATTTGGTGGACGGGGGCGCACAGAAGATCCTCGACGATATCAACCAGGTGCGGCCGGGTGATCAGATTGCGACGGCGGAGACTGCGGCGGCGGCGGCCAACCCCGTTGCGTAACGAACTTTCATGACACAAACCGGAAGAGACACAATCGGAAGAAAATAGACTGTTCCCCCTAAGTGGAACTATTTGATGACCATCATCTCTCATTGCTCTATGTTGGTGGCTACCACGTTGTTGAACCGCAAACCCCGAAAGTGAATACCCGCTTGGCGTCGGTGTATAGTACAGACACACTTGCCCGGTTGAACTGCCGGCTACCTATATCTAACCAAACCTTTCCCCCCTCTCACTCCCTCCTTCACCCATCTAGTGATCCTCGGAAGCGGTAAAGGCCTTGTACTCCTCCTCGTTCATGAGCGCCTCAAGCTCCTGAACGCCCGCCTCGTCAACCTCAACCTTGGCGATCCAGCCGCCGCCGTGGGAGTCGTCCTCGGGCACCTTGTTGATGGTGCCGGGCTTCTCCTCGAGACCGAGGTTAACCTGGGTGACCTTGCAGCTGATGGGGGCATTAATGTCGGCGGCGCTCTTGACGGACTCGACGGCGCCGATGGCGTCGCCCTGGGCGACCTCGGTGCCTTCCTCGGGGAGCTCGACGTAGACGACGTCGCCCAGCTGCTCGGCGGCGTACTCGGAGATGCCGACGACGCCCGTCTTCTTGTCGGCGTTGAGGTCAATCCACTCGTGGTCCTTTGTGTACTTGCGTATTAAGCCTGTCGTGGTGGTTCGGAAGCAGGTCCGAAGTGGTCAGTCTTGGTGGTACTACATGTCTTCGGGTGGGGAGCCGAAGCTTTGAATGGGGAGAGAGCTCACTGCTGGGGGTTGTAGAGAAGCTGCGCTGCGCGGGACGGGGGAAAAAGGCGCGGGGAGCGGCCTTTGTGAATTGGGAGAGGGCGGAGGGGCGGACTGCCCTCATGCTGCGTGCAATTGAGGCCATTGTTGAGGTTTTACGTCGTCGTGAAAAGAGAGAGGGCGTTGTGGTGGTGGTGGTTGTGGTGGTTTTTTGGGAGTTTGAGAGTGTTAGATAATGAGGTCAGAACGTCCGACTTTAGAGCTTCCGGGGGAATTTGGGGCCTGGGCGGCTGATAGGTTATCGGTACGTACCGCCTGCCGAGACCGGGAACTCTTCCAGGTTCGAATCGTCAAACACCAAGCTGTTGGGCCAATCAGGGAGGAGGTTTCTCGAACCGCCTTCGCCTTAGTCATGCATGTTTGAGCGGACTGCCATCGGCCCGGGGCCGCAGGAGCCAACTTGGGGTCATTGGATGCAGGGCGATAAGAGACCGCGCTGGGTTGGAGAGAGAGCGATAGGAGAGGAAGCCGAGGAGAGCCCTCTATCCGTAGGCTCTCTGTCTTTCAGTCTGGGTCTATCCGTACCTTACCTAGGCAGTGTGTCACAGGGAAGCCCCGCGGTCAGGAAGCGAGAGACGACGCAGAGAGCCGGGCATGAACCCAAGGCCTCGGACGGAGCGGGCCAGGAGTCCGTTGCGAGGCCATCCGGGAGTGTCCCGTCTCTTGGTCTGGGTATTTCGGGCGGGTGCCAGGTGGACTGGGCGGACGTGGTGACCGTGGTGGACTATTAAACGGCTTCATGCCGTTTGCATGAATTCCCCATTTCGTGCCTGCGAAATTGCATGGCGGGATCTTTTTAGCCTCGATCTCATCGGTCTTGCATCCTCTGCATTTTTCTCCCTTTTTCAAAACTTCTTGCCCTATTTCTTTCTTCTTTCGTTTGGTTTTGTTCCTTCGCTCTGGACTATCTGTTGCGGAACTGACAAGGCGTGGCTATCTCGTGCGCCCTGCACAATTGCGATCGGGGTCTGTTTCCAAGGCAGAGATAGAGTTGGCAATAGCCTCATTCTAGAATTGCGGTCAGAGGCCTGTTTGTTTGCTGAGCCTGAGGTTTCGAGTCTGGGCCCGGGACTCCGTGCATCGTCCCATGTCGCGTGCGCTGGCTTAAGTAATGCGTGGGTGATGGGGGTTGTTGACTTTGGGGAAGTTTTCTATTGACATTGGGCGCTGTGCACTTCTACCGGACAACGAGCTGGAGCTGCACGAATTAATCGGCCAATGTCACGTCGCAGACAACAACGTCTCTGATGATCAACATTGCCGAACGCTGTCAACAAGAGTGGTGTTGTTTAGGCGCAGAGACGGAAGAGACTCGACTCCAAGTCGGGCAGACGTGATTACCGCACATTGACGACTGACGACTGATGACAAGAGGCTCACCGCCCTCGAAAGTTGTGCCTTGTTTGGGCCCTTGAGGAGGCTCGGCTGGTCCGTTTGAACGTACGGCCACTGAGACAAAAACGGTGTATCCGTCCACCGTCAAATGTCCCGGTCAAGTCCCACTGACTGGTGGGCTGTTGGGCTTCTTTCAGCTTCGCCTGAAGTCAGTGGACCTGAAAAACAGGAAGCGAAAAAAATGGAAGAAAATTGGCAAGTATTAATAAACGAGGATGAGTTGTGTGTGTGTGTGTGTCGATTCCATAAATGCCGCCGCCCGTGATGCATCATCCATAATCCTCGAAGGGCAATAGCACCAAATCTCCGTCACAAGGTGCTAGAGATGTTAGTGCAAGAAAGGGAGATGCGCCCATGGTGCATGGGGCAGCTGAGCAAACACTCCAGTGCTTAAGGCGTTAAGGTACCTAGGTAAGGTACTCCATACCATGATGCCGTATTGTGTGCATGTACATGTGTGGGAGGATTAGACCACAGAAATACATAAAACGCGTCCGTCTCGCGTCTTCTCCACACAACCGTGGTCCAATTGTGAAATTTTGGCGTCATTGCCAGTCGACAAAATGTCCAGTGTATCCACCCCCAGCGGCCATTATCACTCTGTAATTGGCTGCTTCCTTGCCCCCTTCTCCCTGTCGCACCTCCCTTCCTCGATCTGCCATAAGCGCCACGGGCCTGGGGAGGGCCCTGACTTGCCGTTTCCCTGGGCTTCCCTGGGCTTTCCTGCGCTGGCGTCCCTCACTAATGCTCCGCTAAGTCGCCTACGAGGGACATACCCAGAGCCAAAGAGTCGCTTGCTTCCCTTTACTGGTCCAAGTTGCGCGGCGTGCGGCGTGCCTTTCCTTGGTGGGTACGTACTTCCGTCATGTTATGTTGCACTGACATCCATCTTCCCCCCCCTCTCTGGCACCAAAACACGACAACGGGGGCACCACTGCACAACAAAGTCACACAAGCATCTCCTCAGCATCCCGTCTATCCATCCACAATCCGCCATCTCAAGTCCACCCAACGCGCACAACTTCCCTGGCGCTTGACATTGACATCCACGGGTGCAGTGCTTGGTTGCTCGTGCTTGGCCTGGATCTCCGCTAATCCATCCCCATACCCTGACTTCCCCCCCGTTCTGCCCTGGGCCCGTTTCGGTACATTCCATGACCGTCACCTCCAGCTCCTTCTGCCATCGAGTATCCGTACCGCAACGCCGCATCTCATCGCCATCCCGTCCCGTCGTCGATACCTGACCCTTCCTCTCTCTCTCGCCTTGTCTTGCCTCACCGTCTACTACAACCTGGCTCATTTCAACCTCGTCTCCTCTTCCCCAGGACCCAGCCTTGCCAACGCAACGAGGGCTTCCTGTTATCGTCAAGCTTCAGCCCGGCTCCTGCAACTCGGTCACCAGTTGCCTGTTGCAACTACACACACTACCGGTTCGTCTATCTGGTCCAATACAAGGCCATTATTCTCATTGCTCGACTCCAGATCGAGGTGGGCAACCCCCGCTTCAACTCATCGCCCAATCCCCTCTCTTGTTCCCGCACCGCACCGTCTCAAGGTCCCGTACCGTCCATACCACGCTCCTGTCCCTCCTCTCCTCCTCTGGACTCCGTGTGTGTGGAGAGGCTAGGTGAGACATCTTTGCCTGAACACTCATTCCCTCTCTCTCCCACCTCACCTATTCACCTCCACGAGTTGCGTCGACGTCGCCAATCCTAACCAGCGACAGATACCATCTCGAGTAGCCCGTTTTCGACTCACCCCTTCGCTACCCTATCGATCGCCGCGCCGCCCCTGGCAAGCGCTCCATGAAGCCATCGTCGGGCCTGAACTGAAACCTGCCGCCCACTCCCCCGGCCCTCTCCTCAACCTTCTTTTGGGACAAGGCGCCGACTGTCAGTCGTTCTCGCCCATCTGCAAGCCGGCAAACTCCAGCATCGTCATCTTTCCGGCCCCTTACTCGACACTGAGCCTCCCGTCCCGCACTCTCGAATCTCCACGCTGGATTCCTCAACACTGTCAGCGGGGTCACCGGCCCAGTTCCACGACGCAGTCGACACCATGGATCACGACCACTTGGCTGCGCAGCCTCACCCCGACGACACCATCGGTGCCTTTGATGCCTCCCCTCAAGTGGCCCAGAACAATGGATACGATCACCCAGAGCCCCAGCATCATCAGTCAAGTCAGTCCCTCGACCATGGCCTTCCACAATCCCCGCGACCCGAAGAGCAGCACTCGGATCGCTACAACACACCACCACTTCCTATGAACGCCCCTTCCATCTCGAGGCCTGCTTCTGGACTTTCCGGCGCCGGCGCGCAACAAGGCTACGCCGACCACGCATCGCGCAGCAGCGCCGGTGCGGAAGCTGCCGCCAGCAACGGTCGCAACCACGTCGTCATCAAGGTCGGCATGGTGGGAGATGCGCAAATCGGCAAGACCAGTCTCATGGTCAAGTACGTGGAAGGGAGCTGGGACGAGGACTACATCCAGACGCTTGGCGTCAACTTTATGGAGAAGACCATCTCCATCCGGAATACGGAAATCACCTTTTCCATCTGGGATTTGGGCGGCCAGCGCGAGTTTGTCAACATGCTTCCGCTGGTCTGCAACGACGCCGTCGCCATTCTATTCATGTTCGACCTGACACGGAAGAGCACCCTCAACAGCATCAAGGAGTGGTACAGGCAAGGCAGGGGCTTCAACAAGACGGCCATCCCCATCTTGGTGGGCACCAAGTATGACCATTTTGTCAACTTCCCGAGAGAAGACCAAGAAGAGATCTCGAACCAGGTACGTCACCAAGTAGTCTCTGTCGTCCTCCTACGCTAACAGAACAGGCTCGCCGGTTCGCCAAGGCAATGCGCGCCGCGTTGATCTTCTCCAGCACGAGCCATAGTATCAACGTGCAAAAGGTGAGTCGCTCTTTTGCGCCAAAGTCCCACCCTGACTGACCACCTACAGATCTTCAAGATTGTGCTGTCCAAGGCATTTGACCTCAAGTGCACCATTCCCGAAATCGAAAACGTCGGAGAGCCGCTACTCCTGTATCAGTCCTGCTGATTCCCGTCAGCGGTCTGATGTGGTGTACGCCAAACTTCGCCTGGCCTCGCGCCAACTATAACCATCTCGGCTGTCGCCCATAACGAATGGATCATGACCCATTACGTACTTACGACCTTCGATATCCATGCTGGCATCCATCAGCCGAACTACAAAAAAAAGTCATCTCTGGCACCAGGCCAAAATCCGAGTGACTATACAGAGCACCCCACACAGCTCGCTCTCCCTGGCACAAATCAGCCTCTTAAAACAAGACTGACTCGCTTCTTTCTTTTGTTACCAACATGGCCTCCATGGCCCGATCACAGCGCTTTCAGTGCCACCAGTCTGGTTAATCGCGCACACATCACACACAAACACATTCCTCACTCTCTGATTGCAATCGACGTTGCATATCTCTTCAACCTTAAACTTCTCAAGATTGGTAGGGACACGGCGGGTTGGCTGGAGGGATGAGATGCATTTTAGGACTATGGTCTGGCGGTGGCCCCGCTCACTCAAATCGATCGTCTTCTCGCGAAAAAAAGAGATTGAGTGATAAACATAGCAGGGCCACCGTCTTGTTTCCAGGCGTAACGGCCGCTGCGAAACTGTTCCGAGGAGAAATCTTGGGCAGCAAAACTTGCTTTTTTTTTTTTTCCATCACAGATTTTTTTTGTCGAATTCGAACCTTGACTCACTATCAACCCACACCCACACACAGCTTGTTTTGTCTTTGGGATGGTCTCTGGAGATGGAATCGAGAGACGGACCTGATACAAGAAAGGAAGAGACCACACCATGTAACAAGTAATTCCACCCACGCGTGCTTTTTACTTTGAGAGGCCTTTCCCCTCTCTCTCCCACTCTTGGAGGAGACTGGGGCAAGACGGCATTTCAAACGGGGAACGAGATGGAGACGGGAGGCGGAGGTGAACAAACCATGTAATGAATATTGTGAAGAGCCTTTTTCGCTGAGGAGGCGGAGGAGTCAATGGAATGAATTCCAGATGCCATTTGAGAGATCTTGCCAGTCTTCTGCTTTTGATGTGCTGTGACGGAAAAGTGTTGACGTCCGTTGCCATGCTCGCCGCCAGAGCCGGGCTGCTTGTATGGGGTCCGTGGATGAGTCCTCGTTTCCAGCTGAGCCCTTTCCTCGTCGTCATGATAATCCGTTCCTTTTGCTGTACTTGAGCTGTTGTTGAGAGGAACGGAAAGACGATCGATGCTTCGATCTTGCAAGAGTAGTTTTTTCCCGTTAGGGGGGGGGTAGTCAATCTCTTTACGCCGGGAACTTATTCATCACAACCACTAAGTTGGGAAATCACGTTTGGTAAATACGGTAGGGATGTCGTCGACTCGGGTACCGCCACCGTGTTCAAGGTATCTAGAGTCTTTGGAGTAGTACGAGAGGGCATGTATCTCTCTCTCTCTCTCTCTCTCTCTGGATAACGAAGACGGCTTTTCACATTGAGTCTACTAGTCTCCGGCCCTCGGCCCCCCCATGGTAAAGTCGCAAATCGTATTTAATTACCGAAGGCCTCATTCGTTTGGCCAAGGTTCGTTGACTAGCAGACTTTGGTCAGGGGGGCAAGATTCTGATCAAAGGACGCGATAGTATCAACCCCTTTAACCCTCCCCTATCCTGTACTTGTGGAGCGCTGATGGTGTGTTGAGCGGCATTTCGAAAAAAAATCATCTCTTGCTGGCGATGGCATCGCCCTCTGCTCGTGGGACACTGTCATCCCCTCCTTCCAGGGTTATTCTTAGGGCCCATGTAGGATGTGGCATCTCATCCCTTCTAGCGACGTCCATGCACACACACACACACACACACGACCCATAACCGCCGCCGCCACAATCCACACACTTTTCTCTTCCCGTGCCTCACCTCTACCTTCCACACACCCTTCCATCCCACGATCCTGAACGAACCCGGGCAGCCCCCTTCTTTCCTTTTCCCACCTCCGCCACCAAAACCTTCCTCCCACGCCCCGGTGGGAAAAGATCCTTAGCTCAGAGAACCGCAACATCCCCCAACCACAAGTTGACCGAGCCAACACCCCCCCTCCAGTTGGCTCAATGGTAAAAGCGGACGGCGTGCCGTAGTCATAGGGTCACAAATACTACCACAATAACCCACCGACGGGGTTCGAGTCCTATGCTGCCTTGTGGTTACGGCGGTAAAGCTCGGGTAGCGCGGGGTCTCGTCCTGTAATGGGGCGGGATTGAGCGTCGAACTGATTTTTTATATATATATATTTCTTTTGGATTGAGTTGGATATGTTTTGGTGGTGGAATGGTTGAGTAAGGATGGCGAAAGAGGGGACGGTGGCGGGATTCGAACCGAGTGGTGATGATGATGGTGGTGTTGGTGAAGACCTTGGGAGACTGGCTGGATGAGGATGCGGGTCGTCCCCTTTTTTTCTTGCGCTCTGAGCGTCAATCTGGATAGAAGTGGACGATGTTCATCCCCAGATTTAGCTTGAACGACTGAAGAGCTTTTCAGACTCAAGTTTTAGGACTTTAGTTGCTATCATGATGCACCCGCACCCCTTCCGAAATCGAACAAGACCAACCGGAAGCTTGCTCCGACATGATACTGATCCCTTGCCCCCTCAGAACCCAACCCATCAGGATACTGATATTCTCTCGAATGGGGGGAGCTGTCCTTTCTGTTCAGAATTCGGATGGGAAGCCAGAGGAAACCCCTAGAAGCGATTCTGTCAGTCTCGAGCCAACGTCATGGCATCCCCGAGATCAAACACTGCCCTCCCATGATATGAACTTCGGAAATGATGAACAAACCCCCAAAAGAAGATAGATAGTTCTTGGAAAAGGGAGCCGTATCAAGGGCGAAGAAGTCTCGCATCTCCCCTTCTACCTTCCTCACCACGTCGCTAGGGGGAAGTCACTCAGCCTTATGTCAAGTCAAGATCTCTTCCACAGCAAGCCTTCAAGACCTCATCCTCACTCAAGCCAGCATCGCCAAGGCACAAGGGCACAAAATTAAGTAAAATCTTATCGTATTCTTCTACCTATTACATCCCATTCATCAAAGCCGAGCCATGTCTTGCAACACCTCGGCAGATTACCCCTGAAAAGACAAGTCAGCTTTCTTGGTCTACAAAAATATCCATGAAAGAAACAAGAGCATTTCCAAATAAAATCAGACGTGATCAAACGTTTTCTCAGCAACCGCACATTGGTGCGTCTGAGTGAGCTGGGTAACGTGTAGGACTCATCATTTTGAGGGGACAGGAGCAGAAAAAGAAGAAGAATAAAACGTACCATCCAGGAAGACCATGCGGCCAGGCGTGAGTAACCACACCGCCCAAGTCTAGTCCTCCAAAGGGGAAAGCCTGCCAGATGATAAACCAACAGCCCAGACTTCACACCAGCCAGAGACAGGTATGCATTGTGGTGAAAGAGTTATTAGTATCATTGAGCAGCCCGTCCCCCCAAAAGCTTTGAGGCGAACGACAACCACTCCATCTATGACACACAAAGTAACACAAGGAAAATTACAAATGTTCTAAGTTTGTTCCTTCCCAGGCGAAAGAGCGTGAGGCCCTTTCTTCTTGCTGCAATCGCCCAGTAAGATCATTTCGTCTTTTTTCTGCAATGATGCCCAACCCCCTCCCAGTTCGCCAAAGGCACAAACATACAAACGTCGTCAGCCTCCCAGGTCGTCATACACGTCCGACTGTAGGGGCCCCCACTGCTCGTCACAGCAGGGCCTCTTTTTTCGGTTTTCAAAGTGTTGCCTCGCCAGTAGCGAGGGAACGATGCAGTAATACA